TCGGGTCGGGTCATTTTACCCGTTTATTTTAACGGGTGTTACACGACACGACCCGTTAAGATATCGGGTATGACACGAAAACGATACGAACACGGAAAACACGACACGAATGCCAGGTCTAATAAAAACTAAAGATTATGAGTAGATAGAAACGAGAGATTCTGTGTATACAATAATCTATTTGCTTTAAGAGATGACGTATAAATTGGTATTTGTTGATGCCTTTGAGTTATAAATTGGTATCTGTTGATGCCTAGTTTCGTGAACTACTATACATCTTGTGTTATTTACATTACTTGCAGATTTACGGTCGGATTTACGTTGTTCCAAGACCTCCGGTTTTGTGCATCAACATTTGGTGCCGTCTGTGGGAATCAACACGAAAAGTTATGTCGTTTCTCTCTCAATTTTTCACCTCCGCCGTGAATCTGCAAAATCACAAAAACCCATAAACAGAAAACACCCAAATCTCATTTCAAAGTTACCATAGTTTTTCCAATCACTTCCTAGAAAAACCCAGAAACATAAAAAATCCAGATCTGAAACATTCCATCTCTCTCTTCTCTCTCTCCTCCGCGCTCTCAATCTTGGCTCTCATCCCCCACCATCTTCACCGCCTCTCTCAGACTCAATCAGAAAAGAAGCCGCCAGAAAGAAATGAACCAATTTCCAGGTTTTCATCTTCTTCCTTTAGGGTTTTCCTCCATTTCTTCGTTTTCGTATCTCTCCAATTAATCCCACCACGAAACGCCCTAAAACCCCGATGAAGCTCCAGTTTGGTGAGCTGACATTTCTGGGTTTTTCTCCATATCCATGAGGACCCAGGATCCATATCCCAAACCCTATACGACTTCCGGGCGACCTACGAGAAAATCCGGTCAATCAACCCGAACCCGGAACAGGATTTTCATTGAAAACATCCATGAGAGCAGTGCTGAGCCTAGGGATGGCGCGACGGTGCAGATGACCGTCCTGTTCTTCAAAGCCTGTCTAACCTTCTGGGTTCGAAACTCCAAAATCGCTGTTTCCCATTTTCACAACCTCACCCACGGTGGAGCTTGGCCGCGCCCGCTTCACGACTTTGAATCGGTTTCTCTCTCCAATGGTTTCAAAGGTGTTTTCAGGCTCCCAATTCGATGCCACGAACGCCTTCTTCGACGACGATTTCATGGCTTCTTAGTCCACTTAATTCGGCGATTCCAGCGATTATAACCCGTCCAATTCCTAAGCCCTAGCTCCCGCCACCTCTATTCCCACCAATTCTGCTAGAGATGGCGCTCCAGCTGGCGGATCTAGGTTGTTGGAGGCTAAAGATGTCGAATTGCCAAAAGGCAAACCCGTGGATTTGAATATTGGAGGTAAAGATTTGGATGTGATGGACAAAGATGTGGATTCCGACATTGAGGAGGCTAACAATGGAGCTGATGCTATGGGTTTAGACCGGTGATTCCCGGGCTATTAGATACCTTTCTGGTCAGTGGTGCTCGGTGAATGTCGGAAACCCAGAAGGTTCAAGAAGGGACGGTGAGAGAGACGAAGATGATCTCGGAAAGCGCTAAGGAATTATTGCCAAAGCAAGTGGAACAGCTAAGAGCAGTGAAAAGAGAATATTCCTAGAAATTGGCTCTGCTTTTTATTCTGGCATGTACTAGTGCGGCTCAGTATGATGGAGAAGGGAATAAGCTTTTTTATCTAAGACCCCACACTGTGTCAATCTTGGAGTTTGGAGCAGTTGAAGACGGGACCCAAGGTGGTGAAGGGGGATCCTGCTGATAGAAAAATCAGAGAAAAGAGCACATGGGTCATGCACTTTCTTACCCACCATGTGGAGGCAAAATCTAGTCTAGTTGGCAGCGAGCCTTGAAAAGAGGGAAAGTTTTGTTGACATAAAAATCAGAGAATGAGTGAGGAGAGCACATGGGAAACAAAAACAAAAGCAACAAAAGTGCAAAGGAAAGGCAAAAGCAATTAAGTGAGCGGCGGGAAACAAAAGCAAAAGCAAGGAATAAACATCCCACCAGAAGGATGTGGTTTACTTTCCTTATTTTTGAATGATGTAATTTATTTTTCGTATCTTTCGGAGATATCTGTATAAACTCCATCAGAGGGTAAAAAAAAAAAAAAAAAAAAAAACAGCAAAGCCCAAAATAAATGGGCTGGAATGTTGTGTAGAGGGCGAAGGCCCATAAGCCCAAAATAGCTCCAACCATGCGATCAAAAGTACGCCCAGTACTTCCAAAATTATTCGGCAACCCGCCGCTATTATCACCAACCAGGTGACCAAAAGTACGACCAGTACTCCAAAAATTATTTGGCAACCTGCCGCTATTACCACCAACCAGGTGATGAAATGCACAACCCGTACTCTAAAATCATTTGGCAACTAGCCATTCATGCCACCAACCAGGTGATAAAATGTATAACCCGTACTCTCCTTCATGCCACCAACCAGGTGATCAAAAGTACGCTCAGTACTCTAAATTATATATGAGCATTACTCATGTCATTCATACATAAACATTCATGAGCATCACTCATGACAATCATACATAAACATTCATGTCAGCATTCATGAACATCACTCATGTTAACATTCATGAGCATCACTCATGACAACATCCATGAGCATCACTCATGTCAATCAACATAAACATTCATGAGCATCACTCATGTCAATCAGCTTCAAAAGCTTCATTTACAGAGCTCTAGCTTCAAAAGCTTCATTTACAGAGCTCCAGCTTCTTCAAAAGCTTCATTTACAGAGCTTCAGCTTCTTCAAAAGCTTCATTTTCATTTACAGAGCTCTAGCTTCAAAAGCTTCATTTACAGAGCTCCAACTTCTTCAAAAGCTTCATTTACAGAGCTCCAGCTTCAAAAGCTTCATTTACAAAAGCTCTAGCTTCAAAAGCTTCATTTACAGAGCTCCAGCTTCAAACCTTCACTTGCAAAGCTTCACCTACAAAGCTTCAGTGCAGGGTATACAAATACCGCATCCGAACAAACCACCACTTCGACCCATACATGGATTCAATTTGAAGTCTCCAGCTAACAGACTCTATTGACCGAAGACTTGGGGGACTACAATATGTACCATATATTGGGCCTCAATTGGACCTCATGATAAATACTTAGGGGACTTAGCCCATTATTTATGTATTGAGGAACGAGCCTTTATTCTATAAAAGGGACTCCCTCACTTTCATTAGAGAGCACCCATTATTCATGTACTGAGGAGCGAGCCCTTATTTTATAAAAATGACTCCTTCACCTTCATTAGAGAGCAACGCCGCCAGTTGAGCAATCGCCTCGCCGCGAGCATCACTCCTAACCACGAGCATCATGCTAGCTGAGGACCCCTCACCCTCACAATTAGGGGAGGCCAATTCCTAAGGCTCCTCACCATCTCGACGCTCTCACTCTCAGAGCTCTCTCTCTCCCTCACTTCTCAGAGAAATACAATACAATCAGTGTGGACGTAGCCCAAACCTTGGGGTGAACCACGATACATCTTGTGTTATTTACATTACTTGCAGATTCACGGTCGGATTAACGTTGTTCCAAGACTTTCAATTTTGTGCATCAACAGTATCGAACTCGCCCATTACAAAATTTGTTTGTCTATTAGAATGTCAACTGTAATGTCTATTTATAGATCACTTTAGAATCTACTTGGATCCAAAATCATAGATTCACTTTTTACATCAATAAGGAACTAAACGCAGATGTTATGACATATCGGCTTCAAGTGGGACAACCACATATATTTAATAATACTTGCAACATTCTTCTTTGGATGTCCACCTGCCAATGATTGTTACTTCAAACCTAGTAGAGCATTTCTCATACCTTGAGGACAGCGAAAATGGTCGTGAAATCCTCGGATTGCTGGAAAAGTTACACTTTGTCGCGGACTTGCCGAAGTTTCAACGTCCAAACTGAAGCTTGCGTTATAGGTGGTGGTGGCTGGCTCTGAGACGCAAGGAGAAAGATGATGGCCGATAGCGAAAATCCGGGAAAGTAGAGCTCGGCTCCGCCGAGGAACTTGGCCAAACAGTGAGGACTTCGGGTGAGTTATATTCGTAAAGAGGTGACAAGTTGAATGCGGGTGGTGGCGAACTATTTCAAAGTCAGAATCGGCCGGAAAGCAAAATGTATGCCCGCTGAAAGGCTCATCATGTAGAAAATGTCAAAGTAAAGGGTACTGTTGCCATCAGTCTCTCTAAAGTCAGTTCCTAATGTAGGTGTTTTTTGTACTGGAAGCATATGATGTAACAAGCACAACTATTGAGAGGCTCGCTAATGGAGTTTCGCTGATCCTTTTTTGTAGTCACTAATTAGCCGGTATTTTGTAAATTTCAGAGTTTATCCTTGTCTACTTTTCAGAATTGGCTATGATATGATATATAATGACTATTTGGCCAAGTCACATTTAGACATTTCACTCTATTTTGTTACAAAAACTTGACTTCAGATTGAGTAAACAAATAATTGTGTAAGAATAGGAAAATGGTTGTGATGTCATTTCCTTGTGATATCATTATTGTGAGGATAACGCTAGATTTCCCAAGTTTTATCCCGAGTTTTATCATATATCATGGTACAAAATTATATATCCGATTGTTCTTGCTCTCATCCATGCTTTTTTGCCAAACTTTTTAAGAAAAGCTTCTTTTAAAATTATATTATATATGTATATGTTTCTCCCTTATGATACAATTTTTTTTCTTTTTGTTGGAAATGATACAAACTTAAACAAATAAGAAAATGACATACAATTAAAAACAAAGACCTCATTTTTTCATTATATTAGAAATGGATACATCGTTCAAACATGACAAGAAAAATAATCGTGTCCTAGGAAATACATCCATCAATGCAGCAACCCTAGAGAAATACAATACTACATGTTTTCTCTTCTTTTTTTTTCTTTCTTAGTATTCTGAATTCTGTTTTATTCATCCTACCAAGGACATTGCAGTTCAAAGAAAGAAGCAAGTTTTCTAGTTACCATGCTGTGGCGGATCCTCTGCATCATCATCATCTGCAACGCTGCCTTCGATAGCAACACCCATCAGTCTAATGCGCTTACCTTTTTTTCCAGTTATATTCTCACTTTGCTTTACCATCTCATGGCTCACATCAGGTTGCCCTACCTCTTTTCCAGCTCCACTGTGAGACATCAGCCCCAGCCCTAGGGCATCTCCAGAGTTCTCAATCCCATTGGCAGCAATATTACCAGCAGCGTTCTCAATCTCCTTCCCTTTCTCATAGTTGGAGGTGCCTTGTTCGCGATTCGGGTCCTCTTTCTCCAAATGCGCAACCAATTTCTTGATCCCGTACATTTTTTCCTCACAAAAGGAAACCAAATCAGTCATGTCACTTCTTTCAAATTCATTCAGTGATTTACCTTCGTGAACTTGATGCACGAGTTTGTTCACTTTCATTTCCCGAATCTGTTTGTTGATCTTTTTTATTCTTTCTCGGAATCTGACCGCCCTCTCCAGAAGATACGTCTCTTGGTTCAACGACTTCTTGTACCGCTCCACATTCGGTATGCTGAAGAACCTTTTAATCAGTTCTTCCACCTCCGGGTGAGAAGGCCACAACGTTGGATCATTGTTTTCTTGCCCGTATACGATGGCAAAGGCATTCACTTGGCATAAGGTGGTTATTTCATCCATTTTCCTTAACAAATTTGCCTTCCTCTTTCTAAAGCATTCTTTCCTAGCTCTATCATTTTCCACCCATTGAAGTTTCACCTTCTTACCCATGGTTTGATGTTGTTTTCTAGTTGATAATTAAGCTCTCTATTTACTGTTTCTCTAGGCTTAAACGCTACGTGCTCTAAGACATACGCAGCCTAGCGGTATTTATATATTTATAATAGCATGGATATGACTCAATGCCATTATTTAGATATTAACATAATTGGAAAAAGCAAAGAAATCGTTAGGAAGATATTGGTCATTTATATTGTTCATGCATTTTAGAACCAAAATCTGTATGTGAAGATTTAAAACTATGCTGTTTAGTAAGAAAATTAATTTTACATCTACCTAATATAAGGGAATTGTCGTTGTTAATAATTTAAATGGTAAGTGACGAAAACGCATCTGATTAATTTGGAACCCACATTCAATTATTTTTAGCCAAAAACCTTTAAATTAAGGAAACAAAACTTAATAAAATATGACACTATAAGATAAGATATGGGCCAATTTTTCCATTCCTGCCTAAATTCTTATCGGTATAATTGTAACGGCCCGCCAACTCAAATAATTTTTTGTGTAAACTTAACTCTGCCAACGCCACCAATTTAAAAGTGAGTGATGTTTCAATGTGAATATTACGATGCTAAATCAAATAATTTTTTTAATATGTATATAGCGCGGCCAACTCAAAAGAGAGTAGTGTTTTAATGTAAATGAAGCACCGCTAATTTAAAATAGAGTATTATTTTAGTGTAAATATCACGCCACCAACTCAATACTTTTTAGTGTACATGTAACGTCGTCAACTCAAAACAAAATCATTGTTAAAATAGAACAATTAAATTGAAATTTCAGCTGAATATTAGAGTGTGAAATAAACAAGACTACAAAATAATAGGAATATTATTAAACAAACAAGAATATCCGAACAGCTACAAAACTCTAAAAGGCTACATCGTAACTAACTTGTTCTCTAATGAATAATAAAGCACTCTATTTATAATAAATTAACCCTAATCTCTAACAAACCCTAATTCTAATGGGCTGAGCCCAAATCCTAAATCTATTATTTTCCAACACCCCCCGTCAAACTCATAGCAGTAAACAACATGAGTTTGCCAACAAGTAGATGTGGATGCAGGTTTCGTTAGTTGGACAAACAGGCAGGCTCCGCAATACGGATAGACAGACAACTAGGCTCCGTAACGCGGACAGACATACAGGCAGGATCCGAAATGCGGATAAACAATCAGGCAGGCTCCGCAACGTGGATAGATAGTCAGACATGCTCCACAACAGACAGACAGGCAGGCAGGCTCCACAATGCAAACAGACAGACAAGCCAAACAAAAGGCTCAACAGTAGCTTCAATCAACAAGCCCAACAAAGAGCCTTCAAACAAATCATAACAGCCCAACATATCGTGGGCTCCAAACCCATTTTTTTTCTTTCTACTTCTCTGTTTTCTACTTTTCTTCTTCTTTCCTGGGATGGCAAAGCAAAAACAAAGTTTTGATGCAAACAAATACGGGTACGAAGATGCAGATTCAAAGGGTACAGGTGCAGGGGTTTCAGGGCTTATGCACACGACAACGAGGGATGACGGGTTGCGGAAACGCGTCAAGCTGCAGGTGCAGTGGTGCAGGTACGAAATCGTTAGTACAGGGTATGGGGCAGCGAAGTGGTGTGACGGTGAAGTGCAAATCAAAGCGGCGTCGAGGATGCGGGTTTGGTGAGGAGGTGCAGGTTATGGACGGAACTGATCAGGTTTCGATGCAGTGGAGATGGCAAGTACGGTGCGGAGCATAAATGGCGGGTTTATCAAATCTGATTTGCAGGAGTTCAGGTGGAAACGAACTTGATCCGAGTGGTTCTCAGGTCGGAGCTTCGTCAAAACGTGCAGATGACCAGAGACGAATACCAATGATGGGGAAGGGGCAGAAGGCCGTCAACACAACTGAAAAAATTAAACACACTTTTTTTTCCTGCAAACTGTCAAACACAACTAGACAATCTAAACATGAACGACAAACGGACACAAGCAAACGGATACCAACCCAAAGCAGATTAAATCCTGAAAGATGAAACCTGTTTTGATACCAAGTTGAATACCAGAGTACGGAACAACCAAGACTACAAAATAATAAGAATATTATTAAACAAACGAGAATGACGGTACGGCTACAAAACCCTAAGAGGCTACATCGTGACTAACTTGTTCTCTAATGAATAACAAAGCACTCTATTTATAATAAACTAAACCTAATTTCTAACAAAACCTAATTCTAACGGGCTGAGCCCAAATCCTAAATCTATTATTTTCCAACAATTTCTTCGTAATTTAAGAATATAATTTTATAGCTATGTTTATTTATATATTGTCAACCTATATATTGTAACATTTAAATTATAAATTCAGAAATTGATAAGACTGTGTGCAAAGGTGCTGGGCGCTAGGCCCTAGGTGTGGCTCCAATCACGTGTAAAGGGTATTCCGGTCATTCAGGCCACCCTACATGCCACGTGGCATGGGCTTCGAAAATCATGGTCTCACAATTGCACCTCATTATGATTCTGAGAAGGCATTCCCACATGAGGAAGGATGATTATAAATAGACCATACGTGAATCTCTCCAGAAATGACCTAGCATCATAATGTCCTTAAAAAATCTCTCGAAGATCTATCTTGTTGGAGAATCGAATCAAATGTATAACTCCTAGTCCGAGGTTCCGAGCTCATAACTTGAAAGCTGAGTGAATAGCAAGACAAGTGAATTTGCCTACGCCATGTGTGATTTTTCCACTTATAGTAAATTTGAAATTTCTTCCAGATTAACCATTAATCCAGAGAAAACATGTTTTTCATAGAGCTATTTCATATGTCAGAACGAACATGGTTCTGAATCATGGTTCCGAATTTGTACTCCATAAATCGGAGTAATGAATATTTATACTCCCAGCGCAAGAACTCTGTGCAATGTGAATGCTCTGGATGGGTCTCCTTAATTAGAATCCAGGTTGCTATTACACCCTTAGAGGATCTTGATATATTGAATCACGTTAGTGTAAGTTGTGAGTGTCAAAGAACCGTGCTCACTGTTTCTTGACATACAAGTAACTTGGTCAATCCGAGTTAATAGTTGAGAAAATTATGGAGCCTTATTTGATCAGGTTGATGAGTCCTTATTTAGTGCAATTAATCTTGAAAACCTTAATTAGTTGACAAAGAATTCGTTACCATATATGACTACTATGATATCCTAATTGATTTGGAATATCCTTGTAATGAACTAAATAGGCCGAATTACAAGGATCGTATCAGTATATTAGGGAGGTCCCTGCACTCACAACAATCATTCTATTCTAGACTTCTAGTGCAAAACCCTATTTCTGTGCACAAGTACTCTCGGCTGCTAAACTGTAGAAGTTCCTCCTTGAAACCCTAGCATCATGTCTTCTTCTTCTATAGATAAGTTTATTTCCTTTTCATGTCGGTTTGGTTATCACACTCATGATCCTAATGTCTTGTTGTCCTTATAATTTCATAATATGTCTTACATTAAGGGCATGGTTAGTGGATTTAAGGATCAGGAACACCTTTAGAATCCTTTTTGAATTGATCTTTAATTGTCGTTGACCTGAACTCAATCCAAACTAAGCATTTGCTTAATCTGGAATGATAAGTCCTATTGGATGAGTTCCGTAAGAGATTTGGACATGTTAGTTCTACGTAAATTTGTTAAAAAAAAAACTCATTTCTGTTTTGACATATGTTCTTATCAATATGTGATTGTGTAAATCCTAAGTAGAGATAGAATAGGAATCCCTTGGGATCTAGAAGATTTTTCCTAATATACTTTGTATTACTTGGATGCAAGTTTCTCTCATCCTGATTACTATAAATAAAGGCACAAGGACTGGGGAATTAACACACAATTCCTCAAGTCTATTCTCCAATCTCTTACTCTTCCCTTTGCCGCACCTCTCTATTAAATATAGGCCACAACACGTTATCAGCACACTCTTCACGCTGTGCTAAAAAGAATTTATTAGTATTCAACCAGGGAGTATTACGTTCCAATTATTTTAATTGATTAAATTTTAATTTTATTCAATTCATATACCTTTATTGATTCAATTTATTTCTCTTCTTATGTTGAACGTGATACAAGCTTGAAGATGAAAGCCGAAATTGAAGAAAGTACTCCTACAAACCCGTTCACAATATTCATCATGCAATCTAGGTTCTTCAAAAACAACGGTTTTTATCTCAATATTTTTTCAGCCTTGATTGCAAGAACCTTCACCATAATGCATGACCTAATTTTACGATTTACGAATTTTAGATTCTATATAAATTGTTTATGCATGATATCCATAATTTTGCTATTATGTGAATTGAATATGTGTGAATAAGGAAAAAAAAGGAAAGAAAAAAAAAGATGTTGAAACCTTAGAATTTGTATTGGGCTTGAAAAACCTAGTTTGTTTTTTTTACTAGGCCCTAATTTCATATGGCCAGCGAGCAGCTTGAATTGAACCAAGCTTGCTCTAAATTGGGCCTAGAAATATGGCACACCTGTTCTTGTTTGGCCCAACCCAAAAAGCCCAACGCTTGAGTACCCAACTCGCGCTGGAGCCGCTGAGCCAAAGCTCGTGCTAAGCCAGAGCCACTAGCCAGAATGACTTGTCGTTTATACCATCTTCTTCGTCCACCTCATTGCAATTATGCGATTTTTCTGTCGAGATATATGATCTCCGACCATATAGACACTTGCAGACGTTTCTAGGTGAGACTTACAATTTTATGATGACCTGAAGTCATCATAATGGTGAAAGTCGACGACTAGAGATCATCAGATCTCATCCCCGAGATTAAGGCTTTGAGGTTGCTTTGATTCTCAATGGAAATACAATTTTTAATACTTCAAAAGGGTTTGGAACACCATCCCGACGTAACTCCAGCATCATTTTCTTAGAAATCACCGCCGCCTGCAGCGCCGTGCCTTGTTTTGTTGATTGCAACACACCCAACCTTCGCTGGGGTGTCCTCAACCCAA